CCCGCATTGACAACCCTCGGCCCATACCGCAATTGCCACAGCCCAGTGCTCACAAGCAACCGGTGCCTGCCCCCCCCATGCTAATGCCCCAGCCTCCCCCGTAAACCGACAGCCTTTACCCCGCCACACAGTGCATCCCGAAGACCCATCGCTCTGCAATCGCTCACCCATTTCCTTGCCCGCTCGTGGCCAGACCCAGCACAAGAAGTGCATCTGTTCTCTGTTCCCTCTCCTACCTGTCACCTCAACACCAGCTGCCCCCACAAGCAAGCTGGTACTGTCACCCTTGTTGCCATCTGCAGATGGTGCAGCAGTGAGGGGATGAGGTGGTAGACCAAGGCAACCAACATCTCCAGAGCCTGCACCAAGAGCACTGCCTTCAAACGCCCCCTGACTGCCCCTGTACATCTGTCTCCAGGGAGAGCACCTCTCACCCCTTCATCCCATAGCCATCGGCTTCCCAATGGCATGATGGTCCCCTGTTTCCCAGGGCCAGCCAGCATCAGGGTGGCACAAACTCTCAACAACCCCTACCCACCTAACTGCCCCTTCACCCCTCCCCAACACCCTGCCTGTCCCTCAGGGCAGTTGGAAGCCTGTCCAAGAACAGCACGGCCCCGAGCCAAGTGAAGAACCTACTTTTCCACCCCTCACATCCCAAAGTCGCTCTGACCTGCCTAGGCCTCCAGGCCGTCACTCTCATCCCCTCTCCTCTATGCTCTGGCATCACTGCTATTGCCTCTTTCCTCTTCCTTCTCCTCAGGAGGCACGACAGTGCTCTGCCTGGCCACGCTCTGCTTCCTGACCCACCACACTCAGCAGCACTTCATGCTCGCACCCCCCGGGACGTCCTCACCAGTCCCTCCGTACACCTTGGGCCACATCTCAGGGCAGGTGGAAGGCCACCCCCCCTCTGCTGCCACCCCTGCACCTTCCCTGAAAGCCTGAACACATCCCAACAGACCATACCCTATCACTTGCCAAAATATTGATGTCACATGGCACCAAACCCCAAAAATACACTAAGCTCACTCAAAAAAGAGGCATGTCACCTAACACTTGGTTTTAGACCTTCTGGCCTACTCCCACCCAGCTCTCACACAGGACTTCCACATCCTGTACATTTAACTAACAGTGACCTACCAGAGGCACCAGCTGGACCAACCAGTCTGGCAGGGAGCAGGATGGGGCTGAGGGATGCTGATACCAGTTCTGGACAGGTAACACTGCTGATGCTCTGCCACCCGTGATGCATTCATTGATGCGCTTCACTGGCTGCCCAGTCGGCAACCCTGTCCCCTCACTGTCCACCCGCAGAATCGCTCACGCCGTAGTTCCCAAGGATCTCGGGGCAGCTACAGACTTGACACGCCTTGTCACACCTCACGTGAGAGGCCGCGTTGCACTCACCAAGCACCAGAGACTCAGGACTCCATTTCTGAGCCACCTCTCTGGGCACAAAGCAGGGAGCGGCAGCTTCCCACCACCAGCACTGGCTCTCCATCTCACCTACTCCTACAGAGGACTCCCTGCAGCTCACTTAGGGGCCAGAACAAGCACCCATCCTCCAACCAGCCTGCAAAGCACCTCAGGGAAAGGGATGGAGCCAGTGAAGGGAAAAAAAATAAACACACATCAGTAAGTGTCAAACGCCCTTTAGTGGTAGACAGAGGTGCTGCTGGCCCAGCAGCCCGGCCCCACGTGCAGCCTTGCACCGTGCTGTTGCCCAGAGTACCTGGCCCTTCACCGGATATGCACCATCTCCTCCAGGAAGGGGGTTTTCATGCAGCCTGTGCAGAGCTGATCCATCCAGAGCGGAGCCTCGTGCTGCAGAGGGGTGCGCCGGGGGTAGAAGGTGAAATTCACATCATAGT